GGAGCCCCAAGCAGTTCCTCTTAAAGAACCCACACATCAGACTCACTCTTTCTGAGCACCAGCACCAGGGTAGCAGCTTGAAAGGCACCATTGTTACACAGGGAGAAACTGAAGTGTCTGGCATCAGGGCAAGCAGAGGCCATTGTCCCTTTTCTAAACCCTCCCTCCACAGAGCTGGCAAGCTGGTGCACATCTGCGACTCCATCGACCTGGCTAACACAAAGGCCTGCCTTGGAGATCCCCAGAGACTCCGCCCCACCCAAATTTAGGGCCCACCCAAGCTGCTTTCCCAAGTGAATAGCTGGTCTTGGCTTATGCTTCACAACTTCCTAAATCCTCTGAAACAACAGCTGGCCACAGTGAGCTCCAGGCCCAGCACAAGTAGCAGCCATCTCAGATTGCTTATAGCTCAGGCAGGGTGGCCCCAGGCAAAACACAGGTGGGGGCTGACCTTGGCCTGCACCACCTAGGAAATCTCAGAGCCTGTGCACCTAATGGACAGCTACAGACCACATCAGAGTGCCACCACCCTTTCCCCACACAGTGGATCCTCCATGCAAGGTAGAGGTTGGTCAGTGGTCACATCCAGTCCTTGCAGTTGATTTGCCCAGGTAAATCCTTCCCATTGACCTGCCAACAGCAACCAAGGCTCACCTATAAGGAGAGGATGTACTCAGCCCACATGAAGAGTGTACCTTCAGTACATGGCTTGGTTGATAGTGGAGGCTGTGCCACTGGATCCTATAGGACACCTACTACATTAGGCCATGTTACCAAGAAAAGGAGTCATAGCAGCTCTAATACAAAGAAACACAAGAGGCTGCCAAAAGAGACAAACATGGTCCAAATGAAAGAACAGATCAGAACTCCAGGAAAAGAGCTAAACAAAAGCAACCTATCAGATACAGAGTCAAAAAACTTTATAAGGATGCTCAAGAAACGTAGTGAGGACCTCAGCATCATGAAAAAGATCCAGTCGGAAATGAAGGATTACACTAATTAAAATAAAACAATTTACAGGAAAACAACAGGGTGGATGAAGCCGAGAATCAGATCAATGATGTGGAACATAAGGAAGCAAAAAACAACCAATCAGAACAAGAAGAAAAGAGAATCCAAAAAAACAAGGAAGCGGCCTGTGCAATCCAACATAGAGGTGCCAGAAGGAGAAGAAGCTGCCAGCAGGAAATATATTTGAAAAAAATAATGAAAGAAAACTTACCTAATTCGCTGAAGGCAATAGACATGCAAGTCCAGGAAGTACAGAGTCCCAATTATGATGGATACAAAGAGGCCCACTCCAAGATACATTCTAATTAAAATGCCAAAGGTTAAAGATAATGAGAGAATCTTAAAAACAGCAAGAGAAAAGCAGTTAGTTACCTACAGAGGAGTTCCCATAAGACTGTCAGCTGATTTCTCAAAAGAGACTTTGCATGCTAGAAGGTATTGGCAAGAAATACTCAAAAGTCATGAAAAGCAAGGAACTATGGTCAAGATTGCTCTGCCCAGCAAAGCGATCATTTAGAATTGAAGGACAGATAAAGAGCTTCCAGACAAGAAAAAAATTAAAGGAGTTCATCATCACCAAATCATTACTATATGAAATATTAAGAGAGCTTATTTAAGGAAAAGAAGGTCAAAACTATGAACAATAAAATGTCAAAAAAATACAAGTCTATCAACTATTGAATCTAAAAAAATGAAGTAAGCAAACAAGACAGAATCATGGGTACAGATAATGTTTTGCTGGTTGCTAGCTGGGAGGAGGATATGAGGGAATGGGTGAAGAAGTGAGGGGATTAAGAAGTACAAATAAATAGGTACAGGATGGCTATGGGGATGTACAGTACATTATAGGAAACAGAGTAGCTGAAGAACTTAAATGCATGACTCAATGGTGGGGGCATTGCCTGAGGAAGTGGAGGGTGCTGGGTGGAGGAGGGGCAAAAAGCAGGACAGCTATAATAGCATAATCAATAAAGTATAATAAATAAAATTACTGAAGAATCACAGAATTAGGCGTTTTTTCTTGTTTTAGACTTCTGTTAAGACCATAATGTTTAGCACTGATAAATGCTGTGGAAGATACAAAAAATTTAAGATGACTCATTTGCCCAAGATTAAAACCTTGAGTACAATGCAGAACCCATTGGTACTCATCAGCAAACCTCACTGTGAGAGGCTCCCACGTGATGTAGTGCACAAGAGCCCTTCATCTATTCATCTTAGGTGATGTAGCACAAGGCTGGTCTCAAGAAGGAGCCTTGGGGTCACTGTTGCCTACCTCAGCTTCCCCTTCTGGTATGCAGCATCAGGTATGGACCTGCCCATGTACAGAGCGGAGAAGCTGGTCTTCAGGCAGTGGCTGTGAATTCTCACCACCAGCTGGGTGTAGGCTAAAGTCAAGTTAACACCTGAAGAATAAGTGGGGAGAGGTCTATACAGTGCAGTACCAGCAGTGTCCTGTACCAGAGCAGAAGGACAAACAGGCCTTGGCATCTGTCTCCTTTCGCTTCTGTCCACTTGAGGCTATCAAATTGGCTACCCAACTCCTGCTTTCAGCAGTGTGTCCTGGTCTCTTTCAATATGGAGGGAAAAATCTGATCAGGGTGCTTACAGATTTACTTTTTTATACATGGTTCTTCCTTTCAACATCAGAGTTTGATATGCCCATTTACTAAAGAAACAGAATGCTTTTTAATTACCTTCTTTGCTTGCTAATTAACTTACAATTTTAGCTATATATTATTTTTTTCACCAGTTAAAGGAACGAGAAATAGCAGTATCTTGTTTTCACATTTTATTTTATAGTATGCTCTAGAATTTAGTTCTCAGTGGTTTTCTCCTAATAGTCCTTGAAATGCATGTTAACCTGTTTATTTGAATTTAAAAATAAAGTCATGTTTTTCTAACAGTGTGTCTAATTGGAGGATGACTCTAATGATGAGGACTGCCTTTGCCAATTAGATTATACAAGTAGTATTTATAATTCAAATAAGCAAAAATTGCAACCTAAACATTGAAAAAATATTTTTTATTTTTATTTTTTTTAACTTTTTTATTGATTATGCCATTACATTTGTTCTATTCCCCCCCTCCATTCCCCTCCACCCTGCATACCCCTCCCCCACCATTTCCCCCTTTAGTTCATGAACACGTGTCTCAAATTCTTTAGATTCTGTATTTCCCCTACTATTCTTACCCTCCCCCCTATCTATTTTCTATCTACTGTCTATGCTACTTATTTTCTGTACCTTCTCCCCCCTTCTCCTCCTCCCACTCCCCTGTTGCTAACCCTCCATGTGATCTTCATTTCTATGGTTCCACTCCTGATCTAGCTGTCCTCTTAGTTTGCTTTTGTTTTAGGTGTGGTTCTTAATAACTGTGAGCTTTGCTGTCCTTTCACTGTTCATCTTTTTTATCTTCTTTTTCTTAGGTAAGTCCCTTTAACATTTCATATAATAAGGGCTTGGTGATGATGAACTCCTTGAATTTGGTCTTATCTGAGAAGCACTTTATCTGTCCTTCCATTCTAAATGAAAACTTTGCTGGGTAGAGCAATCTTGGTTGTAGGTCTTTGGTTTTCATGACTTGGAATACCTCTTTCCAGCCCCTTCTTGCCTGTGAGGTCTCTTTTGAGAAATCAGCTGACAATCTGATGGGAACTCCTTTGTAGGTGACTGTCCCCTTAGCTCTTGCTGCTTCTAGGATTCTCTCCTTCATTTTAATCTTGGCTAATGTAATGATGATGTGTCTTGGTGTGTTCCTTCTTGGGTCCAACTTCTTTGGGACTCTCTGAGCTTCCTGGATTTCCTGGAAGTCTATTTCCCTCTGCCAGAACGGGGAAGTTCTCTTTTATTATTTGTTCAAATAAGGTTTCCACTCGTGACTCTTCCCCTTCTGGTACCCCTATAATTCAGATGTTGGAACGTTTAAATATGTCCTAGAGGTTCCTAAGCTTCTCCTCATTTTTCTGAATTCTCATTTCTTAATTCTTTTCTGTTTGATCATTTTTTTCCTTCCTTCTGGTCCACTCCCTTGATTTGAGTCCCAATCTCCTTTCCATTACTATTGGTTTCCTTTGTATTACCATTCATTTCAATTAGTTTAGCTTCCATATGTTTCTCTAATTTGTGACTAAAATCAACCAGTTCTGTAAGGATCCTGATAACCAGTGTTTTTAACTGTGCATCAGAAAGACTGGCTATTTCTTCGTCGCTTAGATCTATCGGTTCTGGGGCTCTGAGTTGTCCTAGAGCCATTTTTGGTCTATTCGTGCCGTTAAGTAAGCAGAGCGAAGCCTTAGTTGTTTACCAGGACGGGGCGACCCAGGTCGCTGGTTTGTGACGCTGTGTGTGGGGGCGTGGTCAGAGGGAGCCATGGTGGTCCTCTCCGCTAGCCCAGTCCATCCAGTCACACCACTTGCCCCGGGCCTGTTTATCCGATCGGAATTGTGCGAGCCTGCTGCCCCACGCAGGCTTCCCTTCTCACTGGTTTATCCGCACGCAGACAGCCCGCCGCGCCTCTTCCCTGTGTGCTCCCGTAGCTAGCCCGCTCCGCTGCTGGCTTCGCTTCTCTTACCGGTTTAGCTGAGCATTTCATTGTCTTTGGACTCCGTACTGTCGATTTTCTGTGTGGCTTGGTTGTGTTTATTGTTGTTAAAAATAGTTGTTCTTAGATTTGGTTGTGCACAGAGGCAAGGTGGTTCCACCTACACCTCCATCTTGGCGGAATGAAAAAATATTTTTAAACATTTCATTAAAAGAAAGTTCTACTGGTATTATTTCCATTTTCCCAACTCGAAGTATATTGGATTAAACAAAATGCCTTTCAGTGAAAGAGTTAGAATTTGGTGAGTCTTGGGAAAGCCTTTCGGTATCTCCCAGAAACAGAAGGAAAGAATGACTGATCCAAGTGAGATATTTCCAATTCTGCTTTCAACAAGAGTGAGTTTTTGGCTGAAAATATAATTAAAAAATACTTTTTTAAAGACTAGGAAAGGTCATAGCAACTTTATTTTTTCTTTATTTTCATTGATACTATTGCACATGTCCCAAATTTTCCCCGTTTTGTGACCCTCCTCCCAGCCCCTGCTCCCCCTTCCTCCAGGCCATCACCACACTGTTGAGTGTCCATGGGTTATACATATGTTCTTTGGCTGGTCCCTTCACCATCTTTCATCGAGTCCCCTCTTCCGCTCCCCTCTGACAGCCATCAGTCTGTTCCATGTGTCCATGCCTCTGTGATTATAGATCAACTATTTGATTTTTTGGCGTGTAGCTCTGAAGATCAAATAATTAAATGACATTGTTAAAACATAGTTTGTTCACATTTACATATTTATGTTACATGTGTGCATATATATTTTTCAACATACATGTAAAATCAAAACTTGATGCCAAATTTTGACTCATTATTGCAATATTTAATATTCATCTTTAGATAAACTAATTGAAAAAGTTACAATGTATTTTTAACATCTTGTGATCTTAGGAATTTAACAACAATCAGTTTCAACTTACAATTTACTTCTGATTTTTATATACTCTATTGGATACATGTAACAGAATGATGTAAGTTGTTTTTAAAAGAGAGTAGCTATAGTGCCCTAGACATTAAAATTGTGTCATTTACAACTATTTGAATTTATGAAGACAAAGTGGATGTCAACTTAAAACTGTATGAGGGGGTATGTAGTTTTATAGTGTTTTCAGTATTTATAGTATTTGTAGTATTTTCAGTGCTACAGAGCTCTGTTTGAAGAGCACTGCATTATAAGAAAGCAAAAACTAGGTAAGTCCCTCCCTGTCCTTTTTATCGTGTCTTTATAAGTGCAGCTTTTCATACACACACATGCCTGTATTATTTATACAGCTTGGGAAAGAGACCTTCACTACCAATAGACCTTCAATTTTATAATGAAACAAGCTGAGAGGATCTTAAATTTAAGAGACAACCTTTCAGATGCAAAATTTCTTTCACAAAGTAAGACACAAACAAGTAGGTGGGGAAAATGCACCACTGTGCAGAAAACAGACTTAACTAGAAGGTCTCTTGCTAGTTATTTGAACTATTTGGATAAAAATACAAAAATCTTTCAGGTATGTTCACTTCCTTACCAGCACTGGGCTGGAAGCAGTCTGAGGGCAGGAATCACTTCCTGTGCTAATTACAGGTGCCACATAAATAGTTGGTGCTCAGAAGATTTTGCAACAGTAATTCTGGATGATAAATGAGGGACTCCATTAACATGAAAAATATTACTGTTTCTAAAAGAAAATGTACATAGTACAAAATTCAGAAAACTTGAGAGGGAAGAGATTAATGTATATATTATGTCCCCTTTGACTTTTACCATGTGTGAGAATTACCTATCAAAAAATAAAAATGGAAATTACCTGGTCAAAACATGTCCACCTTAAAAATTGATAGGACTTTAACTCGTCTTCACTGATACTAAGTTATGTGCTCCGCATTGGGACTGGTGGGTGCCTGTGTCCCTGCCCACTGACCGGCGGATACCGTATTATCTAATCGTCTCATAACACATTTTTTAACACCATTGAAAAGTATTAATATCCATGAGCAATTTCTGTCTCACCTTATTTAAGTTGCATTCTCTACTCTTGCTTATTACAGGACAAACCGGTGCAGGGAACAACTGGGCAAAGGGTCATTACACAGAAGGAGCAGAGCTGGTAGATTCGGTGCTCGACGTGGTGAGGAAAGAGTGTGAGCACTGTGACTGCCTGCAGGGCTTCCAGCTCACCCACTCCCTGGGAGGAGGAACAGGGTCGGGCATGGGCACACTGCTCATCAGCAAAATCAGAGAGGAGTATCCCGATAGGATTATGAACACCTTCAGCGTCATGCCCTCCCCCAAGGTCTCGGACACAGTGGTGGAGCCGTACAATGCCACCTTGTCAGTCCACCAGCTAGTGGAGAACACAGATGAGACCTACTGCATCGACAATGAGGCTCTGTATGACATCTGCTTCCGCACCCTGAAGCTGACCACTCCAACTTATGGAGACCTCAACCACCTGGTGTCAGCCACCATGAGTGGGGTCACCACCTCACTACGCTTCCCTGGCCAGCTCAACGCTGACCTCCGAAAGCTTGCTGTGAACATGGTCCCTTTTCCCCGCCTCCACTTCTTCATGCCTGGCTTTGCCCCCCTGACAGCCAGAGGCAGTCAGCAGTACCGGGCCCTGACAGTGCCCGAACTGACTCAGCAAATGTTTGATGCCAAGAACATGATGGCAGCCTGTGATCCAAGACATGGGCGCTACCTGACTGTGGCCACTGTCTTCCGTGGCCCCATGTCCATGAAGGAGGTGGACGAGCAGATGCTGGCTATCCAGAACAAGAATAGTAGCTACTTTGTGGAGTGGATCCCCAACAACGTCAAGGTGGCCGTGTGCGACATCCCTCCTCGAGGCCTCAAGATGGCCTCCACCTTCATCGGTAACAGCACAGCCATCCAGGAGCTATTCAAGCGCATCTCGGAGCAGTTTTCTGCCATGTTCCGCCGGAAGGCCTTCTTGCACTGGTTTACAGGGGAGGGCATGGATGAGATGGAGTTCACAGAAGCAGAGAGCAACATGAACGACCTGGTGTCTGAATACCAGCAGTATCAAGAAGCTACGGCCAATGATGGTGAAGAAGCTTTTGAAGATGATGAAGAAGAGATCAATGAATAGAAGAGTGCTCCTGTTTCAAATACAATGCAGATTTTCTTTAATTTTGATGTGTCTTAATTCTAATGGCCAGCAAATGATGAACTGGTCTTAATGTATGGGTGCAGGCCCCTCCCAAATGCAATAAAATTGTACCCAGTCATCTAGAATAAAGAAAGCACATTCAAATAGAAAAGAATTGGCAGTCCAACCCAGCCAGATCAGACTAGCAACATTTTCTACTGGACAATTTAAAACAAATAATAGGCCACCAATAAAGGGCTAAACAAATAAACCTCACCTTCTGTAAGAGTTCAACCATGTCTGAGAACAGCAGAGTAGTTAGTGGTTTTTCATCCTTTGAAATGAAGCTGTGCAGTGTTGCCTTATATTGAAAATGCAATATTAACCTTTGACACAATCTATTCATAATAAAACACTAAAACTGTTTTGTCTCTTCCAGCCTGTTTTATAATTTGTTACTTTGCATTATTTCAGTGGTTGCTCAGCTCTCTAATGCCTTGCGGAATGAACTGCCCCTGCAGCTCACCAAAAGAACTGAAAGGCTTTTCTTGAATTGCAGGCTTTAAGGGTGGTAGCCAGAATTCTGAGCCTAACAGTAATAACACCTGTGTAATTAAACAGCCTTTCATCCACATTTGCAACCAGCATTTAGACCTCCCACAGAATTTGTCACCTCCCTAGGTTATATCCTGGGCTAGTAGGCCCTGGGCTTTTCTGACAACCCAGCTGAACTTTGCCAGAGGAGCCACAGAAAATCCCACTTGCAGCAAGCCCTCGGTGGGTGAGAGGGTACGGAGTAGGGTAGGTTTCCAAGAGCTGTTGAGCTTCCTTCAGTGAGTTCTCAGACGAGGAACCCAGGCCACTGGCCCAGCCCAGCAGGGAGGGTGAAATTTTCTGTGTAACAATTATTTTTATGGTTCCTGTAAATTAGCCACAACTTCTCTAAGAGGTCTTGCAAAGTAAAGTTCCATAGAACAGGACCTCGCTATTAGTAATCGGCAAACATTGCCAAAGTTAGCTGTGAACCTGTGACTTCTCCTGTAGATGACCCAGCATCTCCCTGAGCAAAGCTCCCCCCCCCCCACTTTGTTGGACAAGAAGAGAAATGAGCCTTTGCCATTTGCAGCCACTGAGATCTAGGGCTGCCTCACAGCATGACCTAGCCCCACCTGGTGCTGTGGTGCCACAGCTCACATGCAGTAACTGCATTTATCTTGTGCTAAGTAAGCCCCAGCCTTGAGCAGACAGCAGAAAACTGAACTATTCTGTGAAATTACAGTAAAAATAAACCTTACCACCCCCAACTAACCTGGAAACATGCTAGGTTTGATTGACCTTAAAAAAGATGTGCTGTGAGCACCTGCTGTGAGCCACACTGTTTAGGTCCCAACAAAGGTAATGCTCACCACCATGAATGCCCCGGAGTACAGGTGTGACCATAAGGAGGCCAGCTGGGGGCTGCAGGTGTGGGTTACCATCTGACTCAGCCTCACACACAGCTTTGTCAGTTTTCATACTGAATTGTGACTCATGTTTGGCACAACTCACTTTCCACCCAGAAGCCTCCCAGCTGAGGCCAGAATAGCATACACTGGCACCTCTGCAGTGGGATGGGGAAGGAGTAGAGTATCTAGTCTCCTCTTTGTCTACTGCTTATGTGGAGAACAGTGCACTAGACATCTTGATGGCAAGTGAGTCCTCTTACAGCCTTAAAACAATTCTTCACTCCACTACTTACCACAAGCATCCTGAGGAAAGCAGGCAATCTGTGACTTCTGCAGGTCACTGCTAGAGGAGCTGGGAGACTCCCAAGTGTCTTCTACGATGAGTTAGTGGAGTCAGAAGAACTGCTCCTGGGGCAGGTGAGCTGGAGTTCGGCATCTCTGGGCCCACTGAAGAGTAGTCACAGGACAGAGCAGCCTGCCTGAGCCACCCCGCATCCCACTAGCCCAGTGCAGTGGAGATGCCACAGATCCTGCGTCTTAAATGTGAGGAGACACCATTCCCACATTTTTAACTACATCAAGAACATGCAAGGCATGCTGGAATAACACTGAAGGAGGCTGCTAAAAATGTTAGTAAATGCAAAAATGTATGGTACCTCCAAATCCAAATAGTGGCATTTGAAGACAGTACACCTTCATGCCATTTTTGGGTAAGAAATCTGACCTAACCTAGGTTTGTAACAATGCAGACCTCCACTTTTCTGGAACTGCATACACCCTTCCAATACTACTGGTAATAGCTTGTAATTCACACCTGGGAAGCCATTCAGGGCACAGGGGCCTCCCTAGCTTATAGTCACTGTCCTCTGAAATCCAGGTGATGGCTTGGGACAACCTGGCACACCCACTATATTACACACTGACTTCCACACCCAGACAGTATGACCAACATGTGGTGATGACTAATCTAGTAAGGGTGTAAACCGATGCCATTATCACAGATTTTTGGACTGAGTTGGTATCAATATATTTTACACCCAGAGTTCATTCCAGACACACAAACCTGCAAGTTACTCATTGTCTTGTGATCTGATGAGAACCAGAAAGACTGACATTTTGTTTTCTTAAAAAAAAGCAGTCCAAGCATAAACAGTGGCCCTCTCTGTGGTTAGAAGAAAAGAAGTACAATGTTTACACTTTATTTTTGATGTAAAGAAGCCATATTTACATAATACATTCATATTTTAAATATGTTACAGCTCTCTGTAGAAAACCATTCCATTAAAACAGCAACATGTGACCTGTATTCAATCTTTAAAGTATTAGTCAAATTAAAATATTCGTATCAGGACTCTTAATTTCACAGCCTTCGAAGGAAAATGGGAATGAAGAATGGGCTGTTGCAAAGTGAGAAACAGACCTTTGCCACGTGGCCAGCTCTGAGTCTCTCCACTTCACACATTGAGCTGGCTTTCACTGACAGTGAAGAGGGAAGAGTGCTAGGATCCGATCTCCACTCTTCCAGGGGCTATCCAAGGGCCCAGGGCCTTGGGAAAAACTACCCTGCCACCCCTACTGGGATTTCTGAAGCTGAGGATTAAGTACTCCTCTTCCCACCACTTCAACTGGTCAGCAGCTGGTTAAATCAACTTAGCAGTGTTCCCATTCTTCTGAGAAAGCCAGAGTTGAAATAATGTGCAAACTGAAACCACAATACAAGCTAAAATGGCCTCCCTCCTCGGATCTGATTGGCAATTTTCTCATCTGGGGATTCCTCTTTCTCCTTTTCCCGCTCTTTGTTCCAGTCTTTCAAGCCCTCTGGAAGTGAAGTGTCCTCATCCAAACTGCCAGTGCCTTCCACAAATTCTTCATAGGTAGATTTTTCTGCAAATGGTCTGGGGCCCAAAAGTTCAATCATATCACTCTTATCTAATACTTCTTTTTCTAATAATAGAAGAGCAACCTGAAACACAAACAGTTCTTATTAAATAGCTACTCGGCAAAGTCTATTCAAAGTTAATGTTTTTATTTATATCCAACCTCATCCTCAAAAGGGTTTAAAACCACTGAAAAAGACATACATAAGGTCACATAATTTTGGAGTAAGATGTGCAAAACACTGGAAAAACAAATGTCCATCAGTAAGGGAGTCACTAAATAAATTTGGTACACCCACACAATGAACAATTATGCACCTATTCCATGAGAAAAGTGAGATGCATAATATCTGTAATAAGCTAATTTGTTTTTAAAAAATATTTTATTTATTTATTTTTAGAGTGAGGGGAAGGGAAGGAGAAAGAGTGGGAGAGAAACGTCAGTGTGTGGTTGCCTCTCACGTGTCCCCCACTGGGGACCCGGCCCACAACCCAGGCATGTGCCCTGACTGGGGATTGAATCAGCCACCCCTGCTTCGCAACCCTGTGCTCAATCCACTGAGCTACACCAGCCAGGGCTGCTAATTTGCTTTTTAAGAGGGAAATGTATCTTTTGGTGATAAACCAACTTTTATATGTGCTGCAATCTTATTCCCCATGTTTTT